TGCGTTCAGACAACTCAACAGTTGCACAACGGTTGAGAGATTATCACTTCTGATTGGATAATACTTTTGGAACCGCTACTAGATTTTGAAGAATAGTTCTATCATAAGTGATGATCTTTCAACCGTTGAGTTGTCTGAACGCATCCATTATCTCTCAACCGTTGTGCAAAACTGTTGAGTTGTCTGAACGCACCCAATGGTTGCGTTCAGACAACTCAACGGTTGAAAGATCATCACTTATGATAGGACTATTCTTCAAAATCTGCTGCGGTTCCAAAAGTACGATCCAATCAGAAGTGATTATCTCTCAACCGTTGTGCAACTGTTGAGTTGTCTGAACGCACCCAATGGCTTCTGGCGACAAAAACAGCACGATAACCAATCAGCAATTTGCTCTCATAGAAAAACAGCAAAATGATTGGTCGTCGCGCGTCTCTTCTGGTGGCCGCGATTCGACGCGCGTCCTCCTGTGTGCGCGCGCAAGAACCACAAGCTCAAGATCATTCATGCAAGATGGCAACGTTGTCGCAGTTTTGACGAAGAAGCGGGATTTCGCGATAAAGTGATTGTTGTAACAATTGTTTCCGTTCACAACAACAAGTGCGCGAATTTGATCTATTGATTCCGAATTCGCCGATCTTATCTCACTCTCTACCGGCGTTACTTATCAGTAAACACGATAAATCTGTATATAATCGTGCAAATTGAAAGACCATGGCGGACGAGACGAAGGTAACATGATTCCCTAACCTCAAATACGAATACCGAATGATTATTTACGACGTTGCGGAGCGTGCGGGTCTTGTCTTCTTGTGTGTATGTGTTGCATTATGTTTGATTCACGTCATAGGAAACCAAAACGGAATCAGAGCACATAAATCTGAAGGTGTTGGGCCAGGATAACGCGGTAGTACAATTCAAAATTAAAAAACATACACCTCTTCGCAAATTAATGAACGCGTATTGCGATCGAGTAGTAAGTATAAATTTTTTTGCCGAATATTTTGTAAAAAAAAACATAAGAACTGTCATTCTCACCTCGCTATGTAATAAAAATCTCTATTTTTGTACGTACGCATTGATGTATACGCAATATCTTTATCATTTTCCTTGCGCATTTCTTTGATATAATTTTTCAAAACTTTTATAATCTTACAAACTCTGATAAATTTTCTAAAAATGTTTTCTTATCTATGATATATTTGTGTTTTGAGAATATTTGCAATCAAACAGTTTGTACACTTTTTTTTTTAATAGATATTGTTTGTTTTACTATCAGAGCTGTTTACAAAGTACTTTACAAATATCTATGTAAAAAATACTCATCGTATTGATGATTTTTTTTACTTTATTATTTTGCAGGGATTGGCAATTGCCGCTGTAAGATTTAGATTTGACGGCCAACCCATAAACGAATTGGACACACCCACGACATTAGAAATGGAAGAAGGAGACACAATAGAGGTGTACCAACAGCAAACAGGTGGTCTATGTTGAGATCCAAGGTGTCACATTTATGAATGGACTCTAAATGAAAATTATATATATATTGTTTCAACCATAATTATTTAAAAAAAAAGATACGATGTTTATTTTCTTTTTTTTTTTTTTTTTTTTTTTTTTTACTCTGCTCTACAGAAAAAAATCAAAGAGTTCTCTTTGTCTCATAACATGCAGGACATTCCATTGAGCAAGTCCTATTTATACTACTGACAGCTTTGTTTTTCTTAAATGATTTATAAAAAAAGTATAAAATTTTCTTTTGTACGATATGCGAACAAATATTCTATGAATTGTGAAAGTGCATATTATTAATCAAAGTCTTCTATTATTATAGTATAGCCGTTTGTGATTTTGTTAATAAAACAACACAGTTGTTTACAATGTATCGTAAAACTACAAGCTCACGTTACTGTTAAGAAAAAAAAAAAAACAATATACAAATATTAAATTATGTAAAAAAAAAAAACAAAAAAAAAAAACGGCTATTATCGTCATAAGATTTTCTACAAATCTCGCGAATCCCCTGCATACATAATTTGTACACAGTACACGATGAGAAGCGACATTGTAATAATGACAATTTCAAAATCTTTACTTATAATAAATTCCCATTTTTAGATACTTCTCTTTTTATGCTTGTAGCGAGTGTGTAGAAAAAAATACTTTTATACAGATAAACGAATATTATTATTCATTTTTTGTATTGGTACATACAGACACACACACACGCGCGCGCGCAAAATCTTCAAAGTTGATCTAAGAGCTTTTACAAATATATCCAAGATTTTGTATTAAATTGTTATTTTATGCAACACCCACACATAAGACTTCGTAAAAAAGTAAAAAACAAAAATAACTGGTATATGAAATCTTTTTTCTAAAAAATTTCACATTTTATTGCGAGCAACAGAAACTATAGTGTTTTTCTTGTTCTTAACTTAAATTGTATAATGTGTCTAGAAAAAAAGAAAGATGAGTGTGTAAAACGATTGTAAGAAATATACGCGATATATTGTGTATATTAAAATATCACACTAAAAAATTGCATATCTCTGCAGAGAAGACAACAATACAAAAAAAAAAAAAAAAAAAAAAAAAAAAAAAATGAAATATATGAACACTATATTGTGGAGAAAAATAATTAAAATCTATTTACGTATTAATATGCAACGTATACAATATAAATAAAACATGTAATAATATGTATAATACATAGATTTTTTTGCTATTATTTTTTAATATTACAATAATAAAGAGGATAGATTCTTGTTTTTATCTCTTACAACAAAACGTATAATCGCATCAAAATAAAGATTAAAAACTAATATTTTCTTCTCCGCAAACAAACTGCAGATGTGATACAAATTTGTACCACATGGCAACACTTTTTGGTACATCAAAAAGAGATATACTATGTACAAAAGAACTTCGTTAAAAAAGAGTCAAAGATCACGGACATGCACCAAATGACACATTATACCGACACATTGGAAAATTAGCTACAAAGTTCAACATCAATGTTTTGTAAATGGCGCTAACAAAGTTTCCTTCTCAAGGCCTGGTCTTTAACTCCAAAAATGTGAGAACGCAATTTATATGCAGTCCGAAAGAAAATACAGAACAGAAAAAAAAATACAGTAAAAGAACCAATTGCAAAAAAACAAACGAACGATTTCCGTTCCGCTTTTTTAGCAGCTCGAGATTTACACAAGACATACGTAAATTTTATGAGACGGAATCATGACTGGTTGATTCCTCGCTATAATTTTTTTTGTTCCACAAAAAAAAAGAATGAAAACGAGTTGTACCGGAATTCGAAAATACAGATATATACAAAGAATTTAAAAAAAAAAAAAAAAAAGAATTATAATTGTAAATATATTTACATTCTTATTTGAAATTTCCCAGCTTTTGTTATATATTTCACACCTTTGAACGGCTTGTATCTTTCGCCGTACATATCCAAACGATTCACCTTCAATCCGGACACCGCCAATTGGTTTATCGTAAAATGTACCTGAGAAAAATCATAAATGATCACAAATTGGTGTCGGAAAATCAAATTTATTATTTAGCTACGACGCTATCGATATACGTACGTTGATTGCTGGATTTGATTCGGTAACGAGTGCCGAGTTTTGTATCGTGATCTAAAAAAAAGTTGTTTTTATCTCGTATATTATATATATTACAATAATTGTATATATTTCTTAAATATACACAAATGTGTGTGTATTATTAAAATTGTCTTACCGATCCTCGAAGATTCGGCAACTTGGAAACATCGATTCTTCCGATATCCCATAGTAATATCTTACTGACCGGGTCGAACGAATATTTTCCTTGATTCGGAGTCAAAGTGCAATTTAAAACTATCTTTGGCATCGGAATTTCAAGAGTCACGTTTTCAACCTGCAATATTTATATATTGTCAGAAATAAAACACACGCACTGATTAACGGAATAATAACAATTAAGTGATTACTTATATATACACATATATATATATATATATATATACCGTTCTGCCGATAGTTTGTTTCGGTCCAACCGTTATATCCAATCTACCACCTCCTGGTTCTTTCAAACTTATGTTGTGTCTCACGTATATCGGAATCGCTACAATACTTTGCGATCCTATGTGATACGAAAGAAGGCGAAAATTGCCATCGGGTGGAATAAAAGAAAGTATTCTTTCCGACTAAAAAACAAAACAAAAAAACGAGAAAGCTTCAAAACTCTTTCTTTTTTCAATCGCTTCAATTATATTACCATATACGTACTACATGTGCGTACCTCCCATCTTTTGAATCGAACGCACGGATGAAAACTAACGTCGTCAAACAATCTTGGATTCATGAACGAAAGCGTGAGATCTGGCATGCCGCTTAACTTTATGCAACAGTCGATCTAAACAATAAAGATTGTTAATGTGCGCGCGCGCATGTGTTGTTAATATTTCTATTAAAAAGAAAAGTAAGTACATAGCCTTGGATTTCCGCGAACACGGTCGCTCCGGTTCGATCAATAATAGCGTCCACTTCTTCAACAACGTCGAAGTAAGCTTCGTTGTTGGTATACTTCACTCCGGTTCGTCTCCATGGAACATTTGACAATTGTCCGCTAGGTAGGATCGCGCTAACGCTACAATTAGAAAAAAAATAATAATAAATTGAATCAATAAATTCGATAAACAAGCTACATGCGCTTCTGTTGGAACAACATATTTACTTGGATTTGCCTGTAACGGTATTCGCTATGGTACGCAAGATGTTGGGAGGTTTGATCAATTCTTTCAGTATGTTGGATTCCGTAGCTAGAGGAAAACCGTTATCCAACATCTCATCCAGTAATTCATACACAACCACGTAATTTTCTTTTATGATTGTTTCCGTACATTCGCTGAAATAATCTTCAAAGGTATCAACCACTCTGTGCAAGAATTCAATGACGAATAACGGAGGAACTGAAAAAAAAAGTGAATTGAAGTAAACTTTGTTGTGCTTGGTGTTGATCGTTTCATTAAACAATCTGTTTGTTGCGTTAAATTTACCTTCTGTCGTACATACTGCTACAAAAAACATACTGCAACGATATATGCTAATGAGGTAATGATGTGGAGTAGCTATCACCGGTGGGGTGTCTTCTGGGGACAGAACTCTTCGCTGTTGGTCAAAGAAGTAGTCGCATAGCGAACGCGCGACCGCGCTCTTCCAGTGCTTCTCCATGAAGACATCTCTGCGCAAATTACACACGGTATCACTCAAAAGACCTTATTATATTACATATGATATATATATATATATATATATATATATAT